TAATAATCCAGACAGAATTATTATAATACATCTCACCTGGGTGGGGAGGAATGGGACCCAGGAACCGGTGTGCCTCCTGAGTCGGCTGCCCAGGTACTGCTAAGTGTGGGTGGATCATCCGAGCCCCCGATTTATCTCCATCAGGCTCGTTCTCTCAAAATCAGGCTTAGGGTTTAAATAGATGACACAAGAAGGGGAATGCCTTTTGTGATAAAAGAGGAATTTCTGGTACCCTGCATGGTACGGCTCAGGCTGCCTCAAGAGAGTGTCGGCCCAACCGCCATGAGCACTGAGATGCTTCTGTCATTTCCCCACTTGTTTTGAAGCAAAGGTAGCAACATTGCAACACCCTGGGGACCGTTTTCACCCTCTCTGGCGCTTTTAGGGAGGCACATATCCGACTCTCCTGCTCCCCTGAAGACGCCATGAATAAAAATATAATCATGTGCTATCAAGCCAATTCTGACTTACGGCAACTCTTTTTTAGGGTTGTCCAGCTAGAAAAAACTTAGAGGTGCTTTACCCTTCCCTTCCTTTAGGGGGCACCCTTGGGACTGTCCAGCTAGCCCAAGGCTACACAGGCTGTCTCTTCTCCCAGGAGGCACAAGTGGGGAATCAAACCCCCAACCTCTGGCTCTGCAGCCACATACTGTACCTAAACTACTGATCTATCCAGCCAGCTCAACGTCCTTCCAAATGCATTAGTGGTCTGTTTTCCAGCTCTAGCAATGACCTTAGTAGGGGATGCAAATTCTCCTTGGCCACAGAAACAGGTTTTGTTTTCTTGCTGCAGCCCTGTCCAGCCGGACTTGCCAGGTTAAGCCCTGGCAGCCTTATTTTGCCAGATCTCACTGCCAGTTCTCTTCGCTTCTTTTCTCTGGGTTGCACACAGCTCTTCGGTTCTTTCTTCGCATGCAAACTTGCTTCCAAGGAAACTGTCTCCTACAGCGCTCCTGGGGGTGGTGTTTCATGTTTTTGGAAAGTCCTTTTATGTGAATAAGAATCTCTGGCTCCCTGCCCAGGTTTCCTTGTTTGGATAAAATGCCTTGTATTTCCTGCTCCAGAACTGGCGTGGTCCAGTTAGTTCAGCCAGGGAACTGGCTGCTGTTTTGGAGGCCAAAATATAACAAAGAGATAGGGCCAAAGCTTGGGAAGGTTTATAAGAAGAAAGTAATTTCACACGGTTTCTGCATGTGTAGAAGCATAAATATTTGTACCCCTTAACGACTAATATTTTAAATTTCAGGACAAGCTCTTGCTGCTTACGGTCACACTACAATCCCTCGTCCACATGTGTCTGAGAAAGTGGATTTTAATTCATGAAAACTCACATGGAAATAAAATTAGTCTTCAAAGCACTGCAATGCCACCAACACACCCTATTATTGTTGAAAGAGAGATGCGATGCATCTAGCAAGTGATCAGAACTGTAAGCAGTGCATAAAGGTAGGCAGACCGACAACCTTCTCCTCCTTGCCTTTCCCAGATCTACATGTAGACTGAGTTTCTTCCTTCTTTCATCCTCTGAGATTACTTCCTGCTTCTAGATAGAGAAAGGTAGATTTCTAAGTGAGCAGATTTGGATACAATAGAGGTCAACTCATAAACAAGTCTGGTGCTCGTTTTCTGAAGAACTAAACATAGGTTTTCTATTTTTACCTAACCATGTGTTTCTGAAGAAGCTCTTCTTCATCAGTATCCTTTTCCCCAGGACTGCCCAATAAATTTTGCTTATATAAATACCAAGTAGTCTTACCATTTTGTGGTTTGGCATTTTGGCAGCCGCCTAGAGTGGTCATATCGACCAGATAGGCAGGATATTAAATAAATAAATAAATAAATAAATAAATAAATAAATAAATAAATAAATAAATAAATAAATAAAGTGGCTCTTCTGATCACAGGGGACTCACACAGCGTGGGGCTGTAGCTTACTGCAATAAAGAAAAACTGAAGGGGTAGAGAGGCCATTATTTTTATCAATACAACTTCCAACTGATGAACTGTTTTCTGTAACGAGGTAACAAAGTGGGATCAAGAAACAGTTGGTACCACTTACTGTTGTAGAAATAGATGCACACCAACGAATGTTACACTTACAAAACATAAATATTGGAGTAAATTGTAATGTTGTCTCTTGACCAGGGAATGACGTTTCTTGGGTCGCTTAACTCCCAGAATCCCACAGCCAGCATGGTAAAAAAAAAAGTACCGTATTTTTCCATGTACTGTATAAGATTATACTTTTGTCTAAAATCTTTAGACTAAAAATTGAGGGTTGTCTTATACACGGAAGTAAGCTGAGGAGAGAACAAAAACAAGCAGAGGGGAAAGCAGGGATCAAAGCGATCCTGCAGGGCTTTTATCCCTTTCCCCCTACACTTGCTAAGCCCCACTTAGATTTCTTAATTTTGGATTAGAAAAGTGGGGGGCATCTTATACATAGGGGCATGTTATACACGGAAAATACGGTAATTTTTCCATGATTTGTCTTTGATTTTCCATGTTTAAATAAAGAAGCCTGTTTTATTTCTACCAGTGAAAACAAACAGGATCATTTTCTCCAGACATTACCTTTACACGTTTAGTACTGATAATCCTGCTGCTGCTGCATTCCAGTGTTTTAAAGTTGTCCTCTTATTTTGAAAGACCTGATTTGCACTTAGTACTTTGCTGAAGGGAATCACAAGCCTCTAATGGTCAATGGCATATACAGTTTGGATTAAAATGCATTTGATCCTGCTTTCAAAACAGCTTCGGCCATGTTTTTGGATGTGCCTTCTAGCCTGAATAAAAAGAAAATTATATGGCATCTTCAGGATTCACATCTAGACAAGAACATGACTTAGTCGGATTAAAACAGAACTCTCAACTAGGAAACCTTTTTTCCTGTTGGGAACAATAATGTGTGATGTCCATTCGAGTCAGGGGCTGGCAACTTTGGTGGGTTAACAATGGGTCACTGCAGCCCCAGAAATTGTGAGAAATATTTTCAAAAAACTGGATATGACCACACATCCCCTTCAGGGTTGAAGGTGGGAGAAGGGCTTGACCCCTGGGGGTCCCATCCAGGCTATAAGCTCCACCGTGGCCACCTCTGATCTCAGTAAATATGGTTAATATGGTTCTACCGGTACGACATAACTGCCACATAAGTGTGCTTAGGATTGCTAGCCAAGAGAGTTTCTGACACATGCCTAGAACGGCAGCTGAAAACTCCAGTGGTTCCCAATCTTGAGTCCCCAGGTGTTTTTGGACTACAATTCCCAGATGTCCTTGTTGGCGCAACTGGTGGTGAAGGGCTTCTGGGAGTTACAGTCCAAGAACGTCTGGGGACCTAAGATTGGGAACTGCTGGCTAGACTGCTGTTGATTTGCATCCATTGTATAATGTGTCGCACCTCAGTTTCAAACATCTCAGTGAAAACACTGCCCACCAAAGCGGCTAGTGATCATATGTATGACCTTGATCGTTTTTAAAGATAGAAGCGATTTTATTTTTTAAAAAAACGATTAAATAATTAAAAATAATAATAACCAGAAGGCATACAGTATACTATCTGAACTGGATTTTTTTTAAAAAAGCAAATACCGTATCCTTCTTGCTACTCTTCTTAAATAGATCAGCTATGAATAAAAATAGGTATGTTTAGGAATAAAACACTGCAACAGGAAAGGAAGGAACCGATTAATATGGAAGAAATAGTAAAAAGTATTCATTGAGAATGGATCGTTCACAAAGGCCCATTCATAAATTTCTATGCACAAACCACGAAGAAGCATAAGCAGTTGTGTTCTACTAATCTATTCAGGGACTTTTGAAATTCTAGACCAATTTTAAAATAGCAATGAAGGAAAAAGCTTAATCATCTTCTTTATACTCCTGTGGGAGCACAGTGCTGTCCTTGACATGAAGGACAAAGTGCATATATCCTTTGATTTATACTTTTGGGGGGGGCAGTAGACATGCCTAAAAGAGGCTATTTTTCCTATAATCTTGATTTTTGACAACATATTTTTCTCTGCATTCAGGAGGAAGGCCACTGTCAAAAATGGAAATATTATCTGCATAAATAGATTGCATTGGCTTGAGTAATTTTTTCAAACCAGGCACTAACCTCGCTCTTGGAGGAAGCAGAAGGTAATAACCATACTTTCATAAAAAGTGGGCAAAGGTTAGCCTTAAGCAAGTGTGGGAAGGCTTCAGGCAGACTTTTCCTTAGTGGTTGACTCTCCAGGAGACCGTAAGCGGATGATTTCTATTTTGTTGCTTCTAAATCTGGTTTTTGTAATGCTTTTATCTAACATTTTTAGTATAATGTAATTAATACCTCTTTAATATTTGAATATTTTGTTGTTTTCAGCTTTTAATGTTGTGTTCTTAATTATGCCAGCCACACCGGGTCCTTTTTCAAGGGGAAAAGTGGGGTAAAATATTGTAAATAAATAAATAAGGCAGTGGTAATGTACATGAGGCTTGATTTTTGTAATCTAGTCATCTGAGAAAGGAGTTTATAATCTAAACCCCTCTTTACAAGCTAAACTCCTCTTTTGTTCTTATCCTGAAACAGATCAACATGGCCGCCTCTTTGAAAGATGGAGAGCAGAGTGGTTCACTCATGCATGTGCACATGAGTCTATATGGGGGAAATTATCTTACTTTAGTGGGAGGGAAGGTTAACAAGAATTTTTTGAATAAGGGATCTGTAGGAAGTACGGGAAAATTCGATGCTCCCATATAAAATGATTTTAATCATATTTGTCCTGGTATGTATAGTTCGCAGAAAGCGTAGCCTGCCTCCAGGATAAAGTCTCATCTTCTAACTAATGTTCCATAAATCAGCTTCTTGTCACATTGGATTCCCAGTAGATATCCCCAAAATATACATCTGTGTGGTTTGTTGAAATGCTTAATAAAACCCAAATTACATGGTGCATAGTTACACTTCTATCACATGACAAGTTCAGTCATTCTAAGAACCCACACAGTTGCAGCCGGAGCAATGTAAACAGAGTTATTCGTTTTACTTTTACTTTTTTTTAGAGAGGACAAAGTACTAATTTTCAAATAAAGGTATAAAATACAAATTAGTCACTCTTGAGGAAATGTCAGATAACAGTGTTTCAAAACATGCTAGTACCGCATATAAATCAGTTTATAAAAGGCAAGTCAAATTCATTTCTGACTCAGCTTCAAATCTGAAAGCTTAGGTTTCAGTAAAAACAAACAAAAAACTACCTGAAGTCCCATAAAATCTCACAGAATATTACTAATCCTAAAATCACATATAGTGTGTGTTCACAAAAAACCTGCTCAATGAGGCAGGGGAATTAAAAAACCCTGTTTGGGCCATAAGGCTCAGGCAGAGTTCAATTTGGGCTATTAAACAGATTTTCAGGAAAAGAAATTGACAAGAAAAACCCCCAAACAAACAAATAAATCCCTAAACAGAACAGAACTGGACTAAACAACCAGAAAGGCCTCTTTTCAAATGTCCTCTAGGGTTGTTACTCTGGTACATCAATCCTCAGGACTCTGACTTTTGACTTATAATGATATTCTTTCAAATATAACTTGACAGAGGGCGGAATAGGAAGGGCATCTATGCCATCATAAGTGGTACAGTTACATATAACAGTCCTGCATATATGTTGAAGAGAAAAGGGGAAAGTCCTGTTCAATGGCGTGGAGAGAAGTGGCTCGAAGAACATACATGAGCTTGGATCTTTGTAATGCTCTAAAAGCCCAGTAATGTCCGGAGAATGGAAGACGCATGGGTCATGAGCATCAAAGCTGAAATTATGATTCCACTGCTCAATCCTGGCATGAAGGGAACGGCTGTAGCGGCGAAAACTGACAGAAAACAAGTAATCTTCCTGAGCAGAGTCTCGTAGCAAAAAAGTGCCCTCGGGCTTTCCGTCCAGAAGTGCTTCGGCAGCATATTTATCCATCACTCCCCAGTAGCATGGATTATTATTGATCTGAAGGAGGTCAGGGACGAGACAGTGCACATAATCGATCTGAGTATGATACTTGGGAGGCGTTTCCAGTTGCAGCAGTTCATCATCCGTTTCCCATCGTGGCTTGTTCCTTTTCCGAGAGCTAGTGCAAAGGGTCACCGCTTCGTCATCGGAGTCCATGTCGCTGTCCTCCCTGCTGTTCTTGAGCTGCCGACCCAGGGCCAGCTCACCCCGGGGATCACACCGGCAGGAAGCGCTGTCGCTCATGTTACACGCCTGTGAAATCACAGACCCTCCTCCATCTGTACCCTCAAGGTCTCTCAGTTCCCCCTCCATCCCTTCATCCAGGGAGGACTCCATACTGAGCCAACTTTCAGATTTCTGCTTCACCGGAGCGGTGTGTCGTTTAATCAGATGCCACCGAAAGGCTAGCTCGGATCGTGGCGGAAAAGGACACTTGTCAAGCATAAGCTCGCTGATATGTATTTTCCTCTTGGAGGGGAGCACTGCAGAGTGCCGGCTGCTACAATTCTTGATGGGAAAACACTGTCCCACCGCGTCTTGGAGCTTCTGCTTAAGAGAACGGCCTAGGAAGCGGTGGCCACAGGAACGTTCCAAGTCCAGCTCAGTTGAGGAACAACTGTGCTTTGTCTCCTGGCTCCTTAAACTAAATGTGGACTTTCCTGAGGTACTGGCTGTTTCCGCATCCATGCTGCTCTCACTCCTTTTTGTCCAGGAAAGCTTCTTTCCACTCCATACATATCCATCTTTCCGGTCCGCACTTCTGCTCCGGCTGGTTTTGGGTCTCACATCGGAATTTTTAGGATTCCTCTCTTTATTTTCTGCCATTTCTTTTTCTTTCCCCGTGACAGGCTTTGCAAGATTTCCAGGACTACTGTTGCCAGCTCCTGCTGTCCCTCTTCCTATCACAGAAAGCATCCATCAGGGACTTCTGCGATGTATCTTTGAAAATAGAAAAAAGAGAGCATTCAACCGCTGTGGTGGGTGCCTGATTTTAAGAGACTAAACATACAGTCCTTCCCACTCTTGTAAAGGCTAATCCTCAAGCATTAACCCCAGGCCGTTCATAGCCCTTTCACAATAAGAAGTTGTGAGAAACTGTTCACCAACCATCTAAACAAAGAAACATCATGTCTCAGGACTCAAGAGGGGAAAAACAGAGAGCGCTTTCCAGATCAAACTCAATGCATTTCAACCAAGTTTTCTTTGGGTGAAGTCTTCTTCAAGAGCCATGCAAACAAAGAATACACAGATGAGTACTAACTGCACAACAGTCTATTTATACTCCCTCTTATTAGAACAGCCTGCAGAGACCTATGAGAGATGTCTCTCCTGAGCCTAGTGTCAAATGATTAAATGACTACATGCAACAAATTACGGTATGTATCTTATATACAGGTGTCACCAATATCACCGGAATGAGTAGCCATGGCCACCGGCATTGGCTAACTTCCCAAAACACCTCAAGGGGGATGTCTATAATTTTTTTTCTAAAGGAAAAAAAAATCCTGCTCTGTTGCTCAATGACCTCCTGAAAAGGATCTAATTCTTTATGCCCTTGTGGGGCAGTCTTGTAATCTCAAAATCTGCCCCCATTTCCTTACTAAGAGACGATGCAATCCAAATTGAAAGATAGATATATCGGCTCTAGTAGGTTTGGAACGGCCGGAAGCTTCTTCTTTCGTCATAACTGCCCTTCTGCTAGTTAATCTCAGATCCGCTGGCACAACAGAATCTGTCAGGTCTACTGCTGTGTTGGCTGAGATCTGCTGGCAGCAGAGGTAAAAAGGGAGAGAAAGGAGGAGGAAGTAGGGAGAAATTGAAGTAGGCATAAATTTAGGCCAGGGTCAGGGTAACCATAGGCTGGGAGGAATCTGGATTTATAACAGCCCCAGCTGGCTTAGCCACCAGCCATCTTGGTTTGCACCCTAAAAAGCTAAAAAAAGAAGAAGCAAAGCATGCTGCTTATATACCGCCCCATAGCACTTCAGGCACTCCCTGGGCGGTTTACAAGTTAATGATGCAGGCTACACATTGCCCCCCCTCCCCCCGCGAGCTGGATACTCATTTTACCGACCTCGGAAGGATAGAAGGCTGAGTGAACCTTTAGCCAGCTACCTGGGATTGAACGCTGGGTCGTGAGCACAGTTTTGGTTGCAGTACAGCAGTTTAACCACTGTGCCGTGAGGCCCTACAATCCTATAATGATCTGTATATGTTCTGCCCACAGCACAGGATTTTATACTGAATATGATTTTTCTTCATAAAACGATAAAGGACCAAAAGCAATAAAATAATATTTGATAAACAAAACAGAAATTTGGATAAAGATAATTTTATTTTGTGTGGTGTTCTTAATCATACGTGTGTGTTTTGTGCCATCAAGTTGGAACCGACTTACAGAGACCCTAAGGAGGTTTTTAAGGGAAGAGAGGTATGTACTGAAGCAATGGTTTTACCAGTTCCACTCCGCCAGTTTCCATGGTTGAGTGGGGATTTGAACTCTGTTCTCCAGAGTCTTGGTCCATCACTCTACCTACACTATACGTTCACAGGTAAAAATAACCCCCAGTTACTCTCCAAACTCAAAGTTTATAGCAGCTCCTTCCAAAAGCTGTAGCTAATGTAGACAATGATTGAAGTACTCTGTGAGAAAGAAAAGGAATTGAACTGAAATAAGGATATAGAAATGTTAATTTGCCACATTCAAAACTGACCCAGTGGGCACCTTTTCAGAAGAAAAATTAGCATATAAAGCCTTGAAAACAAGAAAAGGTTTTTTTCCATACCACATGCAACCAGAAGATGGGAAGCTGTTAACAAAAACTGACCTAACAAAAATGATGGATCCATCACAAAAGTCCCTTTTTATTTTTATTTATTTGTTATATTTGTTCCCCACCTTCCTCCAGTGAGCTCAAGGCACTGTAAGTGGCTGTCTTCCTCCACACTTTAACATCATAAAACTAACCTTGTGGGGTAGGCCAGGAAAACATAATGTCTCCAAGGACACCCATTTTGTTTTAGGGTGAATGGGGATTTGAACCCAGATCTTGTCCAACACTAACTCCCAGGGATGAAGACTCATGTTGCGGGTTGTTGTTAAGTCGTGTCTGACTTTTCGTGACCCCATGGACCAGAGCACGCCAGGCCCTCCTGTCTTCCACTGCCTCCCAGAGCTGGGTCCAATTCATGTTGGTCGCTTCGATGACACTGTCCAACCATCTCATCATCTGTCGTCCCCTTCTCCTCTTGCCCTCACACTTTCCCAACATCAAGGTTTTTTCCAGGGAGTCTTCTCTTCTCACGAGATGGCCAAAGTATTGGAGCCTCAGCTTCAGGATCTGTCCTTCCACTGAGCACTCAGGGTTGATTTTCTTTAGAATGGATAGGTTTGATCTCCTTGCAGTCCAGGGGACTCTCAAGGGCCTCCTCCAGCACCACAATTCAAACCTTGTGGGACTCGCTGTCAAACTGGACTTAAGTCACACTGTTGACTCAACTCAGACTTGACTTGTTTTTTTTTCTCCCAGTGACTTTGGGCATGGGATGTGGGACTTGGGTACCAAAGACTCAGGCTGGAGACCCAAAGAACTTGTCAGCAACCCTGCTAATGACTCAACTACACTGTGGAGCTGTAAAGGTTAGCATTTTCATAAGCTCCGCACTGGGATATCCACAGCCACTATCTTTCCGGTTTGCTCTTAATAAACAAAATATTGATAGATAGACTTCTGGAGCCAACTCCGGGTTTTTAAGTGCTTCCAGGCAAAAGGCAGTGTGATCTGAAATAACACCAGATACAGTTATAACCTAATAAGATGTCAACTGGTTCCTGTGTTATTGTGTTAAGGCAAACAGACTGCAGAACTGAGCTTCACGCCATTCTTGGGGGGGGCGGAGAGGGCATTCTTCCCTCACCCCTTTCCTACTTTGCTTGTCTCTTGGACAAATGCTGCTGGCGTGCCAGTGAACCATTGAAAATCAAAACCCCAGAAGAGAGACAAAGTAGGTCAAGAAGTATAATGTACTCAAAGATTCATGTTATGCTTGTTCAATATTAGTTCGCATAAGCATGATGTTAAAAGATGCTTTTCCATACTGACACTTTCAGGTCACTATCAAGACAGAAATTAATTAAAAATACATGAGTCATAGACTGGGAATCTTTTGGTGCTCCTGTCACTTGCTTTTCAAAATAAATTTCATTTTTAAGAATGCCCCCAAGGTGCTGGAACTATCTAGGCTGTGCATATTGCAGATTATATAAAATCCAGCGCCGCTACGGAAAGTAATTACAAAAGACCTTGATGGGTGGATATGCTTTTTAGGTAGTGGCAGTGGAAAGAAATGACATTACCACAAGTAAGCCTTTCCCAAGATTTAACTTACGCCTGGCGCATGCCCTTATCGGCCTTGCTGTTGCTGTGCGCCATCAAGTCCCCTTCGGACTTAGGGTGACGATATGAATGGGCCATCTCCAAAATGCCCTGTCCTCAATAGCTCTTCTCAGCTCCTGCAAACTCAAGTGGGTGACTTCTTTTAGGATTCAATCCATCTCATATGTGGTCTTTTCCTTTTCCTGCTGCTCTCCACTTTTCCCAACATTATTGTCGGTTCCAGAGAACATTGCCTTCTTATAAGGGGTCCAAAGTAGGACAGCCTCCTTTAGCATTTTTTTTTGCCTCCACAGATACTTCAGGCTTGATCTGATCTAGGACCCACTTGTTTGTCTTTCTGGCAGTTCAGGATATCCACAAACCAGCATCACATTTCAACTGAATCAATCTTTTGCCTGTCAGCTTTCATAGCCGTCCAGTTTTCACACCCAAACATGTTGATTAGGAATACAAGAGTGTGGATGGTCTTGGTCTCCAGTGGCTCATCCTTACGCTTGATTATCTTTCCTAATTCTTTCCCAGAAGTATAATGTACTCAAAGATTCATGTTATGCTTGTTCAATATTAGTTCGCATAAGCATGATGTTAAAAGATGCTTTTCCATACTGACACTTTCAGGTCACTATCAAGACAGAAATTAATTAAAAATACATGAGTCATAGACTGGGAATCTTTTGGTGCTCCTGTCACTTGCTTTTCAAAATAAATTTCATTTTTAAGAATGCCCCCAAGGTGCTGGAACTATCTAGGCTGTGCATATTGCAGAAGATTATATAAAATCCAGTGCCGCTACGGAAAGTAATTACAAAAGACCTTGATGGGTGGATATGCTTTTTAGGTAGTGGCAGTGGAAAGAAATGACATTACCACAAGTAAGCCTTTCCCAAGATTTAACTTACGCCTGGCGCATGCCCTTATCGGCCTTGCTGTTGCTGTGCGCCATCAAGTCCCCTTCGGACTTAGGGTGACGATATGAATGGGCCATCTCCAAAATGCCCTGTCCTCAATAGCTCTTCTCAGCTCCTGCAAACTCAAGTGGGTGACTTCTTTTAGGATTCAATCCATCTCATGTGTGGTCTTTTCCTTTTCCTGCTGCTCTCAACTTTTCCCAACATTTCCAGAGAACATTGCCTTCTTATGATGGGTCCAAAGTAGGACAGCCTCCGTTTTAGCATTTTTTTTGCCTCCACAGATAGTTCAGGCTTGATCTGATCTAGGACCCACCTGTTTGTCTTTCTGGCAGTTCAGGATATCCACAAACCAGCATCACATTTCAACTGAATCAATCTTTTGCCTGTCAGCTTTCATAGCCGTCCAGTTTTCACACCCAAACATGTTGATTAGGAATACAAGAGTGTGGATGGTCTTGGTCTCCAGTGGAATGAGCAATCTCCAAAATGCCCTGTCCTCAAGAATCCTTCTCATGCCCTTCTGGATCATAGTCTTCTGATTTCTTGGCTGCGGTTTCCATTTGGATTGATGCTATACAAAGCCTTTAACCACTTCAGTTTCTTCTTTGTCAGTGTCAGAGTTGTGTAGTTC